CACTTTTCTTGCAGAGCAAAGCACCAGCTAAGGAGTAAGCTGAGACCAGCCCAAACCAGTCTGCACCAAGATGGACCCCAGCGCTGAACTTTTCACCAACTTTCCCCTCATTATAATACTAAAAGTCACGCCCAGGTGTGGAGATTTAACATGTTAATTTGACAGCAACTCATGAAGAGTGGCGTTTAAGTGCACAGGTGCTATTAAACCCCCACTTCTGCATGCTTAAATGGCACCACCTTCCCACCTAAGTTTCTTTAAAAAATCCTCCCTGACTTCTCTTCAGTGAGTCAGCCTACAGATTCTTTCCTTTGTGCTCCAGCATAACCCCCAATAAAGCCTGACTTACGCTTTTTTAAAATTTTGGGTCCAGCCTTATTTTATCGTTGCTAGGACAGGGGACCCAAGTCCAGTAACAGAGTTATGTCCAAATAAACACTTTGTGAATTGAAAATATCTTAAGTTGACATGCATTTACTACACCTGAACCTACCAAACAACATGGCTTAGCCTGGCCTGCCTTAAATGTGCTCAGAACAGTTACTTTTGTCTACAGTCGGGCAAAATAATCTACTGAGAAGCCGATTTTATAATAAAGGTTTGTATATCTCATGTAATTTGTTCAATACTATACTGAAAGTGGAAATGGAAAGGTTGTATGGGTACAGAATGGTTGTAAGTATATCAGTTGTTTACCCTCATGACTGTGGGGCTGACTGGGGGTTGCCCAGGAAAAGGACAAAATTCAAAAGTTGAAGTATGGTTTCTACTGAATGAGTATTGCTTTCACACCATTGTAAAATCAAAAAATTTTAAGTCAAACCATAAGTTGGAGACCGTCTGGAATGTATGCTATACTACAATAAAAAATTTACCTTTCTTTTTTTTAGAATTTTATTTTTATTTACCTATAATGATATTTTTGACTGTATCTCTTTGTATAGTTTTTTATTTTAGTGGCTACAGTGGATATTACATTATGTATATGACTTATCACAGACTATTGGTATTGACATTTTGAAAGGTAGACCTTATCTCCATTTCGGTCCTTTACTCTCCCTAATTATAAATATTTCTTCTGCATACATTGAGAACTACATCAATGTTTTGGTTATTGGTACAACTGTCAATATTATTTTTAAAAACTTGAGAGAAGAAATATACTGTCCTATATTTACTTGTAAATTTACACTTTGCATTGTTCTTCATTCCTGATATTCCAAGGTGCCTTCTTTGATTCCTTTTTGTTTGAAGAATTTCTGTCAGCCATTCTTTGAGAGTGGGTCTTCTGAAATCTTTATGCTTATTTATTTGTTTTTGTTTTCTTTCATCTGAGACTATGTTTCACCTTCATTCCTGAAGAGTATTTTCATTGCATATGGAATTTTTTCTTTCCGCACTTGAAAAATGTGCCACTATTTTCTGGACTTCATGGTTCCTTCCTTCCTTCCTTCCTTCCTTCCTTCCTTCCTTCCTTCCTTCCTTCCTTCCTTCCTCCCTCCCTCCCTCCCTCCCTCCCTTCCTCTCTCTCTCTCTCTCTCTCTCTCATGGTTTCTGATGAATAATCTATTGCCATTCAAACCATAGTTTCCCTGCAGATGATGGGTCATTTTTCTCTACCTGCTTTCAAGATTTTTTTCTTTGTCATTAGTTTTCAGAAGTTTGGTTATAATGTTTTTTGGTGTGAGTTTCATTTCTTTGTCCCTCTCTCTCTCTTTTGCTTTTATATGTACAACTCTTATAAACATCCTTATTATATGTTTGTACCAGCTTTATTGAGATATAATTGATACATTGTGTAAGTTGTATAACATGTTGATTTGATACATAAAGAAGTGTATTGATTACCATTACCACTATAATATTAGCTACTACCTCCATCTTGTCACATAGTCACCTAATCTTTTTTATGATGAAAAGATTTAAGATGTATTCTCTTAGAAACCTGCAAGTATGTGATACAAGATTATTAGCTATAATCACATGCTCTACACTAGACCACCAAAGTTGTTAATTTTACGACTGAAAGTTGTACTCTTTGGCCAATATCTCCTCATTTTTTCCACCCCTCCAACTCCTGGTAACCACCAGGCTGTTCTCTATTTCTCTGAGTTTGTTTTTTTTAGATGCCACATATTAGCAATATTATACAGTATTCATCTTTCTCTATCTGACTTATTTCACTTATCATAATGACCTCAAGATCTATCCAAGTTGTTGCAAATGGCAAGAATTCCTTCTTTCTCTTGGTTGAATAATATTCATATATATATGGTCTTCTTTATCCATTCATCTATTGATGAACATTTAGGTATTGTGAGTAATTGTGCTGTGAGCATTGTATATGCAGATATCTCTGCAAGATCCCGATTTCAATTCCTTTGCATATATACCCAGAAGTGGGATTTCTAGATCATATGGAAGTCCTATTTTTAACTTTTTGAGGAACCTCCATACTGTCTTCCATAGCGGGTGTACCAATTTGTATTCCCACCGAGAATACACTAGGGTTTTTGTTGTTGTTTCCCTCTACATCCTTGCCAATACTTATTTCTTATCTTCTTGAGTATAGCCATTGTGACTACTGTGAGGTGATACCTCATTGTGGTCTTGGGTTTGCATTTCCCTGATGATTAGTTATATGAATACCTTTTCATGTACCTGTTGGCCATGGGGTATGTCTGGACAATGGTATATTTAGCTTCTCTGCCAATGTTTAAGTGAAGTTGTTAATTTTTTTGCTGTTGAGTTGTAAGTTCTTTTTCTAAATTTTAGATAGTAACCCCTTATCAGTAGTATGATTTGCAAATATATTCTCCATACTATAGGTTGGCTTTTCATTTTGTTGGTTGTTTCATTTGCTGTGAGAAGCCCTTTAGTTTGATGTAGTCTCATTTATCTATTTTTTGCTTTTGTTGCTTGTGCTTTGTTATCACATCCAGAAAATTGCTGCTGAGACCAATATCAAGGAGCTTTATCCCTATGCTTTCTCCTAGGAGTTTCATAGTTTTATGTCTTAACTTTAAGTCTTTCATTCATTTTAAATTAATTTTTGTGGAGTGATGTGTTGGTGTGACTTTCTTTGAGTTTATCCTGTTTGAGGTTCTTCTTAAATCTGTAGATTTATGCCTTTCATCAAAGTTAAGTAATTTTGATCTATTATTTCTTTTTTTCCTTTGGTCTAGTTTCTCTTTCATTGAGATTGGATAATTTCTATAGACCTATTTTGAGTTCACTGATTCTTTACTGTTATTTCCATTCTGCTATTGACTATATTCAGTCAATTTTATATTTTTCAACTCTAAAATTTAATTCTACAATGGTTTATTATAAATTTTCACTTAATTCTTCTTTATAGCTTCTATTTCTTTGCCAGGACTTTCTATTTTTTTCAAGTGTGTTTGTAAATTCTTGTTGAAGCATTTTTATAATATCTTTAAAGTCTCTGTCATAAAATCCCCAAGGCTGTATCATTTCAGTGTTAGTATTGATTGTGTCTTTTCTCATTCATGTTGAGATTTTCCTGGCTCTTGATATGGTAAGTAAGTTTTTATTGTGTGCTAGACATTTTGGGCATTATGTTTTGAGACTCTGGATCTTATTCAAATCTTATATTACAGCAGGTGTCTGCTAATACTGCACCATAAGTGTGTGCATAGGGGGTGTTATCTCCTTACCACTGAGTCCATATAGAAGTCCAATGTTCTAATTCTTCTTTTCCAAGGTGATTAGTTAAAGTAGGGTAGATATTATCATAAAAGATTTCTGCCTTGCTAGGTCATCTTTTTCTTGGTCCTTTGGATAAAGAAAGCAGATGTGGTGGGGGGTATATCTTGTCTGCACCTGTTGGCATTTCTTGGTTGCAAACGTTTCAGTGCCCAATCTAAGATAATAAGAAGCAAACAGAAAACCCAGGGAACTTACCACAGTGTCAGCCCTCAAGTTCTGAGGACTCTAGCTATTCGGCCTTCTTCTCTACACCTTTTAGACTATTCTTATTTTTTAAATATATTATACCCAGATATTTTAGTTACATTTAGGAGGAGCGATAAGGAGAAGTGCATCTATTCCATCTAGTTGTTACCTGTTTTGACTCTGTAAATGGAAGAGTTGGGGAGGGATAATATGTCTTTTTGTCTCCAGCAAAGACTGGGTAAGACAGTACTTTGGATTTTTGGTGTAGCAGGTGTTTTGCTCTGAGTAAATCAATAGGTTAACATTTACCTAGAGCTAGTAGAATTAGGATATGAAATGGGGCCTGGAAAGTTCCTGGTCAGGCTGATGCTCTACATCTCTTTTGAGAGCTACACAATTAACAGAACAATTATAGCTTCTTCCTTGCAAATTGGTATGCTTCCTGTGTTTCCCCCATGACCTCTCTGGTACTGGTGTTTCCCCCATGACCTCACTTACGCTGTATGTCCCTAAGTTGGGTCAAGCTCCTTTAAGAGATCTGGAAATAGCTCCTGTATTTCCTCCTTTCCCTACAGGTGCCTAGCAAAGTCTTACACGCTGTAAAGAGTCACAAATACACAGTTATTCTTTCTTCTGTGAGTCTGGGTACCATAAACTAGTGTTCCTCATGTGAAGCCACCTTGCCCTCAGACCTTGCAGAGCAGGTTCTGGACTGTGAGAGACAGCATCTTCCCAGGGCAGACCTGTCTTTAAGAAGCACTGAGCTCAAGAAGAAGACCCATAGTGACAATCCAACCCACTAGGGGATGTTCATGGAAATCTCTTCCCAGAATCTTTGTGTCTGAGGATCACCTCACCATCTTACGCCATAAAACACAGTTTACATCTTTGTTTCTGGTTGCCAGCCATTCCTCCCTCCTCTGCTGACTACCATCTATCCACCCACCCTTCCGCCAACAAAATTAATATATTTGTTGAATGAATGTACATATGGTTGGATGAGTGAATGGAGAAAAGGAAATGAATGAAATAGAATGAATGAAATGTAACTTGGAAGCTACAAAGGTGCTTGAAAACCCAGAAAATCTCATGAATTGCAAATTTATTGACTGAGGAGGCACTGGGGTTGGGAGGTAGTTGTACAGAATCCAGAGAGGAAAAACTGCAGAACGAGATGCAGCCCCAGAGCTCTGAGGCTCCTTGTGGGTGTGTTAACACATGAAGCATTTAGGGACCTCAGGGCAGTATCAAGAGAGCACTAAGCGCATAGGCGCCCACGGAGAACATCTCCAGCTCCTCCGTCTCCGCGGCGTCCAAAGGGCCTTACTTGCTTGGCCAGGTAGGCGCCTGCTTCTGCTGGGTCTGGTGGCAGACCGGAACGCCCTTGCCACTCCCGGAGCCACCACCGGAGCCACCACCCCCACCGCTGGAGAAGCAGCCGCCGCCGCCGCCGCCGCCCCCGGAGGAGCCGCCGCCGCAGCCGGAGCCGCCGCCCCCACCGCAGGACGACCCCCCACCGCTGGAGAAGCAGCCGCCGCCGCCTCCGGAGGAGCCGCCGCCGCCGCAGCTGCCGCTTGACGACCCCCCTCCGTAGCTCTGCTGGGGCATGCACGACGTCTGGGTGGTCTGCTGCGAGGAGTAGTAGCCGGAGCCGCCGCCGGAGGAGCCCCCGCCGCAGCCGGAGGAGCCGCCGCCGCCTGAGGAGCCGCCGCCGCAGCCGGAGGAGCCCCCGCCGCAGCCGGAGGAGCCGCCGCCGCCTGAGGAGCCGCCGCCGCAGCCGGAGGAGCCCCCGCCGCAGCCGGAGGAGCTCCCGCCGCCGCCGCTAGAGACGCTTCCGTAGTTCTGGCATTGAACCTGCTGGCCGGAGCCGCCGCCTCCCCCGGAGGAGCCCCCGCCGCAGCCGGAGGAGCCGCGGGAGTAGCTCCCGCCGCAGCCGGAGGAGCCGCCGGAGTAGCCCCCGACGCAGCCGGAGCCGCCCCCGGAGTAGCCCCCGCCGCAGCCAGAACCCGAGCTGCCACCACCTCCCGAGTACTTGACACTCCCACTGGAGCCTCCTCCGCCGCCCCCGGAGAAGCCCCCGCAGCTGGAGCCTCCACCGCCCCCGGAGTAGCTTCCGCAGCTGGAGCCTCCGCCACCCCCGGAGTAGCCCCCGCAGCTGGAGCCTCCGCCGCCCCCGGAGCTGCCACCACCCCCGGAGTACTTGACACTCCCACTGGAGCCTCCTCCGCTGCCCCCGGAGTAGCCCCCGCAGCTGGAGCCTCCACCGCCCCCGGAGTAGCTTCCGCAGCTGGAGCCTCCGCCACCCCCGGAGTAGCCCCCGCAGCTGGAGCCTCCGCCGCCTCCGGAGTAGCCCCCGCAGCCGGAGCCTCCGCCGCCCCCGGAGCTGCCACCACCCCCGGAGTACTTGACACTCCCACTGGAGCCTCCTCCGCCGCCCCCGGAGTAGCCTCCGCAGCTAGAGCCTCCGCCGCCCCCGGAGTAGCCGCCGCAGCTGGAGCCTCCGCCGCCCCCAGAGTAGCCGCCGCAGCTGGAGCCTCCTCCGCCTCCGGAGTAGCCGCCGCAGCCGGAGCCTCCACCGCCCCCGGAGTAGCCGCCGCCGCAGCCGGAGCCGCCGCCGCCGCCGCCGCCGCCGCCTCCCGAAGTCTTTCCGCAGCCCACTGGGGGCATGGGGGTTGGCTGCTTCTTCTGGTGAGACATCTTATCCAAGGAGAAAGAGAAGCCTGGAAAGACAGCAGAGAGCATCACTGGACCAACCTCAAGAGGATGCGGCGGAGGAGGCGGTGGCAGCCATGGAAACGCCCTCATCCTCCGAGCACTGCTGCCAGGATTGGGCTTGATGCCCTCTGTTTAGCCGCGGGAGAACTCTCGATGGGACTCCTGGGATTAGTAGTTACCCATCACAAAGTCTTTACCAAGCATTAAATAACCCAGGTACTGCTGCCCATTTCGTCTCCCAGCTCTGCCTGTGGCATCTGTGTGATTTGGGAGCAAATAACCTACAGTCCCATCTCTATCCTCACTTCCTGAAAAATGGGAGGGTTCAAGCGCATCATCACCCAAGTCTCCTCCAGTCCCAACACGATTCTTTAAATGCAAATAGAAGTTTCCACAAACCTCCACCTAGGGTGGGGGATTTTATCCATCCCTGACAAAACAGAGTTTGCTAAGATGTCAGAAGGCTGTCCCCCCCGCCCCTCCCCCAACCTCCATTCTCTGCAGAAGCGCTTAGTTCAAACTCTTGGTCTGTTCCACTGAGCCTAGCCATGATCTGGAAGCTTGTTATCAAGAAAGGCAGGCTCTCCCTGGTGTGGTCCTGTCTGTACTCAGGTGAAAGGACCCAGTGGTCCTTTGGACCAGCATCTCTGACCAGAAGATGTAGGCTTTGCTTACATCCAAGCTTGGCTTAGGGGGCATTTAATAGTAGGAAGTTGTGCCATAGCATCTCAGACCATTCTCTCTCAGAACATCTCTGAAAAGCTAGGACAGGGTTCCTGAGGTTCCCCAAATCTCCACCATCTGCAGCATTCTCTGCATTATACTCCTTGCTCTCCCGTACTCTCTGGAAGTAAGACTCAGCCTATTCTGACAGGTGCATGAGGTCCATCCTGCCCACTCACAGGAGCAGTCTGCAGAATGTCCCTCTGTGTCCATCACTGGCCTGCTCCAGGAGGGGTGCCATAAAGATAGAAGGTATCTCCACTTCTCTTTGTAGAGTTCTCATTCTGGCCAGAAGGTCAGGGACACACATTCGCACAGCAGCAGCTCAGCCCCCACTGCCTTCCTGCCTGAATTCCCTCTAAACATGAATGTAGTTGGAAAGGCAGAGGTCCTGTAGTTTCCAAAAGGGACAGAGGTCTTGCAATCTGTCCCTTGGTCCACCTAGCCTGCACAGGCCTGCAGAAGACTAGCTGGGAAGATGAGAGTCAGGAGAACTCACACTTACCTGCAGCACCAGGAGCTGAGTGAGGAGAGGAGATGCTGGCTTATGTGAGGAGCACTGGAGCTCCCAAGGTTTTATACTCTATACCTGACTCATCTGATCTGACCCAGCCTCCCATGTTTGGCCTCAGTTATGTGACCCATAGCTGTCACTCCACCTGTCGATTACAGGCACCTGTCGATCACATTCATGAAGATTTTGGCATTCTTGAGATAGTGTGTGACTGGCCCCTTCTCTGATGCAACTGTGTGGCAGCGGGAATGGCTGGCCAGAGTGGATGGCACACATTGTTTCCACAACCTCTGGCAAAGGGCTCATGCTGTGAACAGAGGTCCCTGCTTGAGGACTGGGTCTCAGACTCTTGAGGTGGCCCAAGACTGGGGATCTCAGTCCTTAGTCTGAGGAATAGGACCTTTCAAATACCGCTGTTTGGCTTCTGATCCCATTGCATGGAGGTCTCAGAACTTTAGAGAGAACCTGTCCCACTTTTGCCAAAAGTTTCTCCCTCGGGGTTTCATGTGTGCTTCACTGAGGTGTTCCTGTCTTGAAACTGGCTTGAGTGAGTACACAAGCCCCCAGTAGCCAGTTCTGGGTTGCACATCATAGACAAGGCTGTAACTAATGGAACATGGGTATCTACTTTGATTTATTCCTGGGGATTTATTCTTCTGATCGTTGATACTCGCTTTACTTGCAGAGGAGCAAGGATGGACCATGTGGTCCTTCCCACCATGGCCCTTTGGCCCTGGCATCCTGTGGTCTTGTGTGACAACAGTGACCTCAGCCCATGAGGCAGCTGTGGAATGGAGAGGACTTGAGGTTAAGTGACTGGGTTTGGGTACTCCCTATGGTACTTATCAGCTGTGTCACCTTGGACAAAGTCACAGCACCTTACCCATTGTCTGCCATAGGAGGCTCTCAGTATTTGCTGACTTTTGAATGAGTAGGCTTCTGATGCTCAGTGACCTTGTCTATCAAATAAAATAATACCTGTTTCATAGACTCAGGAAGAAGGAATAGTTGTATAAAGTGTAGAAGGCGATGCTGTTCTTTTTATTGTTTTCTCCTGTTACAGCAGTCTTACCTCCAACGTGGCCCACCCTTGGACACCAAGGCCAGAAGGGAGACCAGGGATAACTTGAGGCAAGTTCTTAGTGGGAAAATAACTCAAAAATTCCCCATTGACCCTGGACCAGTAGCATCACGTCTGTGTATGAGTGGCATGCTCTCCCTTCTTTCATCACCGGAACTCAATTGCTATTGTCTAAGATATGGCATTTATATTTTGTTCCACCCATCTGTGTGTTGAAATGACAGCTCCAATAATAAATTGACTGTTAATTATGGTGGAGTTTTAATGATCAAGTGGTCCTGATTAGACTGTGGCCTTCAGAAACTTGTGAGTCTAGTTTTAGTCTGGAGGGCATGAACCCAGGCAAACCCAGATGCTCTCCTCCTGAGAGAGTAGCCAGAAGGGAGAAGCCAGGATCTATTGGAGAAAGCATGTTTCTCAGCTTGAAGCTGAGACACCAGAGAGATTTTGAAGGGAAATAAGCACCAACTAAATGACTGCCATGGGTATAACAAAGGTTGGTTTTATTTAGTTGGGAAGCACTGGAGAAGGAGGGAAGGTGTAGACCACGTACAGTCCCAGCGCTGATATGTAGGCCCATGTTGGCCTATTACTATGTGTTTTCTAGTCTGGAGGAAAATGTAAGTAAAGGGTATCAGCAGCGCATTACTAAGAAGAAAAGTCTTAGATTTTGAAATCATGGCTTTCCTAGATTTGTGTGTGTTAAAAAATATCATTTTGTTTAAAAGTGATGGCAACTCTAGGAGGTTGTAGTTTGCTTCAAGTCCTTACTTGTCAAAATATAAAAACTGGCTATCAGAGAAGAGAGAGAGATGTTACTACTCTATGAAATTCAGAAGTTTGGAAACCTCAAGTGCAGTTAACCCCACAGAGCTAATAATCTCCAAATTGTCCATGTTGGTTAGGAGGGTTCATATGATATTTTCTTTTTCTCTGTATATAAGATTGGAGATTCTAGAGCTTTATTCATTAATCCAGCCAACACAGTGTACTGAATACTACACTGGACATTAAAAGAAACCTTGTCAAAGCTGTATACAGATCTCCTTGGTGGATTCGGGAGAGGGATACTCCATGTCTGCTTCTGCGGTTCTAGAGAGTGTTTAATAAGGAAACCTTTCTAACTAGTACATTCTACTTTGTTAACATATAGAAGAGACTGATGCAGCATGGTATTGACAGCAATGTTGGATCTTGTAGGCTCTAAGTTAACCTTGTCTGAGATGTGAATATATGAACTTGCTTCTGCATTTTATCCCTCTAGACCAGAAGTAAGATACTGTGTGGACAGCAAATAATGATCACATCTCATCAAATCAGTGAGGAAATGTGGAAGTTTGTAGAATTATTACACTTGGGTAGTTGAAGTTTTTAAAGACTTTACGTGTCATATTTTTAAGATTTATAACCCTTAGATGCTTAACCCTGAATATGTGCTTGCTGGCACACCTGAGTTGTGCACCCTCACAGATTACATCTTCATTCCTGCCTATACCTGTATCCTTAGAGGTGATGGGTCAGAAAGCAAATGCTTCAGTGCCCCGTGTGATGCTAGGCATTAATAGCTGCTTGCTGAATCTTGATGGAAATGAAAGGAATTCTGGTAATTTTTATTATTTAAAAATTTTTAAACATTAACTTATTATTTTTTTAACATTAACTTATTTTTGAGAGACACAGAGAGACAGAGAATAAGCAGGGGAGGGACAGATAGAGAGGGAGACACAGAATCTGAAGCAGGCTCCAGGGTCTGAGCTAGTCAGCACAGAGCCTGACACGGGGCTCGAACTCACAAACCATGAGATCGTGACCTGAGCTGAAGTCGGATGCTTAACCGAATGAACCACCCAGATGCCCCAAAAAGAATTCTTAAAGCCTGTTGACTAATAGCTCTGGTGCAAGGGGGAACATGGTCCCTATCCCGGGCAATCCTCAGTCTGAGGGGAGATCATAGCTCTTGAATTTGGGGAGTCCACAGTCTGATAGAAGCCTACTCATCACAGTCTTTACATGTCTAAGGCTACACACATGCATCCTCATGACTGAGTGATGACAGCCTACCTAGCTAAGGGTTACAGGGCAACAGGTGCTTTATAAAGAATAAAATGGACACCGGGCAAGGGCTCAGGAGCAGCGGCAAGGGCAGGCATAGAGCTTGGAAGCCCTAAGCATTGTTTACATTCAATGGAAAAGTTTCCTCTTCTAGTCCTGCCCTGGGAGTACCTCAGAGCCTCAGGCACCCCCCACCCCCAACCCAAGGTACATATTCATCCTCTCTCTGGCCTTCCTGGATCAGCAGTTTAAAGAGGTGGTCGTCTTTGTTAGAGGTCTGGGAGAAGGACAGCTCTCTAGTGGCTCATGGCTACTAGAATTCCTTCTCCAGGAAGGTTTCCTAGGTCCATCCGCCCACTGGTTCCATCTTCTTTTCCACTTTCCCTTTCCAAGTCCTTAAGGAACAACTGTACCCGTTGCAGCCTGCTAATGACACATCCAGTAGCCTTGTTTCCTTTTTCAAGTTATAACTCTTCTTGACAGCTGGATCCCCATTAGTTCCTTATTTTGCACCCTAAGATTTAAAGAGAGTTTATAACATCCTGAGGCTTTATCTGAACATGTTTACTTTTGAATGACTCCCTTTTGGGTGGTCCTGGAGCTCATCCCTGCGTGGAGAAGGTTCCCACAGCTGAGTTGTTCCAGCATTTCTGAATAGCTTGTAGGTGCATACAGGTTGAGCAGTGTGCTCAGGGACCGCACTTGCTTGGCTTAGACACTTCCGGTGTGGACAGACTCTGGTGTATGTACTGCTGCCACATATGGGTCTTGTCCATTCCTCACAAGGGTCCTGGTGCTCACTTCCCAGGATATGTTATCCTCACTTCCCAGATAAGCAAGCGGCCCATAGAGGCTAATGGAACTGCTTTCATTTCCCCAATCTTTAAG